GGGTAGCCGGCCTTCGGCCGGGGATTTAATACTTTCTCCTATGGACAGGTACCAACACCGGCTACGCGACAGAATTTTCTTGTTTTTGTAGGGTTCTAAGGCTCATATCTTTTGATCCACAGCAGATACAGCCACATATCACACCATTTTGGAAAGGGCAAATTGTGGAGAGGGACTATAATGGACTTTTAGGGAGTTTTTCAAAAAAAATAGGGGCTGTGTCTCCAAAACGGTTTGAGATAATCATATCACTACTTATTGGAAAGGTATTTTTATAACCTTTAAAATGATACCCATTTTGTATTAATCGGATCCGTAGAACCGTTCATAAGTAAAAATTATAAGTACCCGGACCCGAACTTTCGGGTCAAATAACCGGGTACGTCCCCAAGAAAAAATATATCCCCATAATTAGGGTAAAAATACCTACATCTGTGGTATATCAGAAAAATCTGATCGTTTTTACTAAACTAGAGTTAAGCCTTTTTTTCTTTTCTAGGACTCAAATAACCCGCTATAACTAAAATAAAACATTATTAATAAAATAAATAATATAAACATTGAACTTACATCTCACCAGAATAACAAAAATAACGCAAAAAAAACAATAGAAAGCAGCAAAACAAAGCGTTCGTTTTTATTTCTTTGAATTTTATTATGACATTATGGGCCTTAGAATCCTGCAAACCGACTATGTCAAATTCATGTTTAGTATTAACATGAATGTCTTATATGCAAATGAGATATGACAGGTACCAACACCGGCTACGCGACAGAATCTCCTTTTATATAGAATAGTTTTCTAAGTAGACGGCCTTCGGCCGGGGATTTAAGACTTTTTCCTATGGACAGGTACCAACACCGGCTACGCGACAGAATCTATAGAATAGTTTTCTGGGTCGCCGGCCTTCGGCCGGGGATATAGGACTTTCTCCTATGGACAGGTACCAACACCGGCTACGCGACAGAATCTCCTTTTATATAGAATAGTTTTCTGGGTAGCCGGCCTTCGGCCGGGGATTTAAGACTTTCTCCTATGGACAGATACCAACACCGGCTGCGCGACAGAATCTCCTTTTATATAGAACAGTTTTCTGGGTAGCCGGCCTTCGGCCGGGGATTTAAGACTTTCTCCTATGGACAGGTACCAACACCGGCTACGCGACAGAATCTCCTTTTATATAGAATAGTTTTCTGGGTAGCCGGCCTTCGGCCGGGGATTTAAGACTTTCTCCTATGGACAGATACCAACACCGGCTACGCGACAGAATCTCCTTTTATATAGAATAGTTTTCTGGGTAGCCGGCCTTCGGCCGGGGATTTAAGACTTTCTCCTATGGACAGGTACCAACACCGGCTACGCGACAGAATCTCCTTTTATATAAAATAGTTTTCTGGGTAGCCGGCCTTCGGCCGGGGATTTAAGACTTTCTCCTATGGACAGATACCAACACCAGCTACGCGACAGAATCTCCTTTTATATAGAATTGTTTTCTGGGTAGCCGGCCTTCGGCCGGGGATTTAATACTTTCTCCTATGGACAGGTACCAACACCGGCTACGCGACAGAATTTTCTTGTTTTTGTAGGGTTCTAAGGCTCATATCTTTTGATCCACAGCAGATACAGCCACATATCACACCATTTTGGAAAGGGCAAATTGTGGAGAGGGACTATAATGGACTTTTAGGGAGTTTTTCAAAAAAAATAGGGGCTGTGTCTCCAAAACGGTTTGAGATAATCATATCACTACTTATTGGAAAGGTATTTTTATAACCTTTAAAATGATACCCATTTTGTATTAATCGGATCCGTAGAACCGTTCATAAGTAAAAATTATAAGTACCCGGACCCGAACTTTCGGGTCAAATAACCGGGTACGTCCCCAAGAAAAAATATATCCCCATAATTAGGGTAAAAATACCTACATCTGTGGTATATCAGAAAAATCTGATCGTTTTTACTAAACTAGAGTTAAGCCTTTTTTTCTTTTCTAGGACTCAAATAACCCGCTATAACTAAAATAAAACATTATTAATAAAATAAATAATATAAACATTGAACTTACATCTCACCAGAATAACAAAAATAACGCAAAAAAAACAATAGAAAGCAGCAAAACAAAGCGTTCGTTTTTATTTCTTTGAATTTTATTATGACAGCCCGCAAATAAATATGACAACGTATCGATGACAACACCGATAATTATTAGAGATGACACCGATTTCTTCGCTGTTCAGAGAGTAGTTCGTGCTGAACAATGTTCAAAAATCATCGTTCCCTCTCACAATTTTGTGTGGGGAATCAAGTAATTCGTTCTTAATGCCATGTTCTGACGGGCATCCGAACAACGTAGTTCGCTCTCAGAATTACGTACATGAATTAACCCGTTCATACAACACTATTCATAATTCATATCATCAGAGTTTTTTATTTCAAACTTTTTGTTTCTTGTTTTACACCAAATATGTAACATATTTTAGTGAATTACATAGGGATCTAAATAGAAAAAATAATTCTCTTTCTCCTGACTATAGTATGAACCCATATCTATTTACTTTTCATTCATGTTTTCCATTTTTTCTGAAAATGTTGTTGTTTTTAATACATTTTTATATTTTCTCAATTCAAATGTCACATACCGTCACAAATAAAATTTTGGAGAATTTTTTGTTTGAGTTGCCCCACATTTGTTTCTTGTTTTGTACGCTAATTAGAACCAAGGGAAAAGAAATGCATATTGCATTATGTAGAAAACAAAATTTACATCCTGCTGCATATATAAAAACTATACAATTTTTTACTTTTCATTCATGATTTTCAATTTTACTGAAAAAGTTTGAAAATTTCATAAATATTTTCAAACTGTCAAAATTAATTTATTTTCGATAAATACTCTCAATTGTTAGGGATGGGACAAATTTATTGGTTATTCAGAGAGTGATTCGAATTGAACAACGTACAAAAGTCGGTGTTCGCTCAGACAATTTTGTATGGGGAACTAAGTAATTCCTTCATAATTAAGGGTCGAACAACGAATGAGAGAGCGAACAACGCTCGTCTGGACATGGCATAAGTAAGGGTCGAACAACGAATGAGAGAGCGAACGACACCCGTCTGTACATGGCATTACAGATGGCATATTAAAATCGCCAAGAAGCCAAGTCTCTGTAAATGCCACCTCATCTGTAATTACACATATCGTGTGTAATTTTTCATTGCATGTGTAGCCCATGTGTAGTTAGTGTCATGTGTATATCATGTGTAACATGGTACAATTATAAAAGGTAACAGCAAATCACAGCTGATTTGATTCCAACGTAATACTAGTGTCAATATGAATTTGAAATTATGTTTTTAAAAATCACCCAACAGGAAAATTGGGAACGCATACAATTTGAAATTGTTCTTTATTAAATGTGCTCCTGTATTCAATTTACTCAATCTGCCTGGTGGGAAAGTTTGAGGAAGCAAATCTTTCTTCAAGGAATAACTCGCTATTCCCAGCATTTTCATATGTGTTACACATATATATGGCAATGGCTCAATTGTAGGAAAGATGTTGAAGCGATAGAAATATAAATTTGATAGATTTTCATTCATGTTTTTCAATTTTTATTTTGAGGATTCGAAAATATTTCATTTTCAAAATAAAAATAATTTGATGATCATTTGTTTGTTTGTTTACATTTTTCTGTCAAATGAGTTGACACTAGTAGAACTTACAACAACAAATTTCCATGTGGTTGTTGTATCGTTTTTTGTACAACAACACTTGCTGTTACCTTCTATTATTATACCATGCATGTGTAATTTATTTTTAACGTTTTATAAGTCTGCTTTTCCACAGGCAGATTTTTATTTGGCAAATTTTTTGTTTTCTCTTTTGAAATGTTCGCTTGCTATTCCATTAGCAAATTTTTCTTTGCCAAATTTTGCGAATCAAAATACAAAAGAAAGAAAATAAAAGTCAAAAGTGTTTGCATTTTAAAGATTTTTTTAATATTTTATTTATTTTTTATATATTTTATCATATAAATGGCAAAAATTAAAAATTAAATTTCACTTGCACAAATTAAAGCAACAGATTTGTAAACAAAAGCCGGCTGTGTGTCAGTAAAGCGAATAGGTTCAAAAGAAAATGTCAACAAAATTGTTTTCAACGAACAGAGCAAAGCAGAATTTGCGTGTACGGCAAATTCTGAACAGGCAAATTTTTGTTTTTCTTCCTCGCACCCCTCTCGCCAACAAACTCAGTATTTGCCAAATAAAAATTTGCCTGTGGAAAAGCAGACTAACACTATAAATACAAAAATTAGTGCATGGCGGCAACATGCACTCTTAGAGGTCAAAAAGTTTGAACTTTATGAAAATTTGGAACCTGGAGTGTATTGGCAAAAAGTTTTTAATTTAAAAATTTCCTAGGAATTGGAACGAATTATTTCCAACATTAAAAAAGTTATTAACTTTCTTTTAATTCTTCCATTCTCAAATGCTTCTGCAGAAAGGATATTTATCTCCTTAAAAATTTGCAAATCAGATTTAAGAAACAAAATGTCTTCAGAAACTGTTGCTGCAATTTTATTTACAAAAGGAGGCGTACGTAGGAATGGAAATTGGAAGAACTAATCTTTTTTTTTTTCTTGAATAACTTGTATTTTTTTGGAATTAAATTTTTTAGTTATATATTATATACTTTTTGTATGGAATTTATTTATGTTTGTTTTTGTCCTACATAGTATTTATTAACAAAATAAAAAATGTTGATACAGTGTAATTTTTCCCCAAATGTGCAATTTTTGTATCCTCCATGTGTAATTTGTAGTTCCATTGGTGGCAACACTGCTGTAAATAATCGAGTTAATTTAGTGTTTAACCCCCTTTCAAAATTTTAACAAAATGTTGTCTTTTAACTTTTTTGTAAATTTATTGTTAGAGAAAATCTTTATTGAGAACAAAAACTGGAAAAGTTCGCAAACAAACCCTTTATTATACATTTCGTAATAAAAATTATTATTCACTTATTGAATAAGCTTTTCTTACAAATTTACTGTGTCGTGTTATACGAGACTCCTCTTGATCATGATCCGGTTCGAAGTCTGAATAGTTTGTCGATGATTTCATCAAAGCAAACGTTTTAAGGAAGTCTATCCTTGTATAGCTTCCAGAGGAATCTATTTTCGTATCGGATAAATTAGATCGGATATCACTTATAGTTGTTCTCTTTGGCATCGTTGAAGAACCGCAAGGTAATGACAAAGCATCGGTTAATTTCTCTTGTGATGTTAATAAATCTGCATTAGCTTTTTCTTCGATTAGTGATTGTCCACTACCAAACGTTGTTTTTGGTGAGCACTGGGAGGGACTTCTGGGTTGATCTAAATCCAGCACAATGTAATTAACTGCCGTGCCGTTTGGTACTAGATTTACTTGTTCAGACGATGAACTTAACGGAATTGTTTGTTGAGGTGTGTGCGCTTTGTTACTGAAACTAACATCAACATTCGCATATGATGGTTCTGATATAGCACATTTGGAACCATTCGTAATATTGCGTGTATTTGATGTCGCTGCAAACAAATCGATATTTGAATAAATTCGCTGAGTTTCCTTTACCAATGGAGTTAAAGCAGGGGCAGATTCATTTGGTGGTACATCCAATGATGAAGTTCTTAATAGTTTACTCACATTAACCTCGATGTCCTCAGTATTATTTTTGGCACACATATTGGATGCATTATCTTCAGTTGCAACAGAGATGGGTTGATCCATATATATGTTGTAACTATTATTGGTCGGATTAACATTGCTATACGGTGTTGTTGGTATATGAATAACTTCGGAGTTAGGAGGAAGATTAGCTAGTGCTTCAGATACATTTGAATTATCTATTGTACTTCTCTGTTCGATCACCGAACCTAATAACGAAGTTGGTTCCAGGTAATGATTTGTGTGGGGCATTTGTAGGTGGGAATCTAATCGATCAAATGCATTTGTGTGGTTACTAGGGTTTCCGTTGCGATCTCGATCCACACCAAATGACATCGAATTTATGTACCACTGAAATTTCGAGTATAGTTGATTAGCATTCCAACAGCGAAAAGTATAAATTCCAGGACCAGTTGTACAGCGCCGACCAGCCTCAAAACTAAACACATCGTCCGTCAATCCATACCTTCGGAGATGTTGCAATGCCCACGAAATGGGTTCATGGTTGGGTGCAATGAAAATAATTTCGTTTGGGGTTATTTCAAGTACTCCTTGTCCTGCTAATACCACCGACTGTTCAGATTGCACCCTCAAGACATTCACGTTATAAACATTATCTTTCTTTAAAGAAAATAATTGCTTATTGCTACTACTTATGCAGCCCATTTCATATTTTATTAAACGTATATACTTGTTTAAATTCCATTTTACTTATTTTTTAACTTCAATCCTTTATTATACACATTGTTCTGGACTTTTCATCGACTGAAAAAAAAAATTGAAAAACGTTCCACCGAATGGGAGGAGAAGACAAATGGTCCATAAATATGAACTCAAAGTGGTATAACCGAAATATTACGAATGAGGTGGAAGGGAGACTAGACTAAATTGTTTACGAATGAGGTGGGATAGAGACTAAATGGTAGCTGAATTGTACGGATGATGTGGGAGGGAGACATACACTGACAGCAACTGCACTGCACTGACATACTGAAATAATGTGTGACGGCGTTGTTATATGCATGTAGACACAGAAGTTTGCTGAAAAAATCACTTTTATTTTTTCTTAAATCAACATCTTTTTTTATTAAACACATACAAACGAAATAATAATTTGTAATTGTTGTCTTTTCATCCTTTTCTTTGACTTGCAATTGAAATATTTTCTTCCAACAATGTGTTTCATTCAAACAGCTGATTTACTTATGTTTCACATGCGAAAATAGAGCGCGTCCTATTCCGAAAAAAATACATATGTAATTGCATATCGTTTTGACACATTGAAATTTCCGTATGTTAAACATGACGAGTTCGATTTCCATATGCAAAAAGTGACAGCACATATGTAAAATACATATCGTGTAAAAACACCATAAGCTGTTTAAGAGTCTAAACGCAACCATAGAGTCTAGAGTCAGCGACAGTCGTTTGCCGTGTGTTTCTTATTGGCAATGGGAAATCGCGACGGCTGACGTTCGCGTCTGAGTCTAAACGCAACCATAGAGTCTAGAGTCAGCGACAGTCGTTTGCCGTGTGTTTCTTATAGGCAACGGGAAATCGCGACGGCTGACGTTCGCGTCTAGCGGCATGACGCTAGAATAGATTTTGAGTCTAAACGCAACCATAGAGTCTAGAGTCAGCGACAGTCGTTTGCCGTGTGTTTCTTATTGGCAACGGGAAATCGCGACGGCTGACGTTCTCGTCTAGCGGCATGAGAGTCTAAACGCAACCAGAGAGTCACGAGTCAGCGTCATACTTTTTCGCCGGCGTGAAAACCAAACGAAAGAGTTAGCGTTAGCGGCACAAAATGTCAATTATTTGTTTTCATTTTCTGACAGAAAATTTTACGTTGTACAAACCAAAATCAATTTATTATTTAATAAACAATAATGTCAAGGAACTTGGATAAAATTATTGAAAAATTATTTTTCTTCCATTTTATTATTAATTCCTTAAAAAAACATCCACAATCTTTGAAAATATTTGTTTTTTTTTTTTTTTTAAAGCACTGCCATATGTTTTAATATAAATTCTCATTGAAATTTGGTAGCACTGTTGATTTTTACCTAAAATATGGCAACTCAATTGAGAGCAAGAGAGAAATTTTGAGTATGACGCTGAGCAAAAATGAATAAAATCTATTCTAGCGTCATGCCGCTAGACGCGAACGTCAGCCGTCGCGATTTCCCGTTGCCAATAAGAAACACACGGCAAACGACTGTCGCTGACTCTAGACTCTATGGTTGCGTTTAGACTCTGACGCTAGAATAGATTTTATTCATTAATAATAAAATGGAAGACAAATAATTTTTTTCAATAATTTTATCCAAGTTCCTTGACATTATTGTTTATTAAATAATAAATTGATTTTGGTTTGCACAACGTAAAATTTTCTGTCAGAAAATGAAAACAAATAATTGATATTTTGTGCCGCTAACGCTAACTCTTTCGTTTGGTTTTCACGCCGGCGAAAAAGTATGACGCTGACTCGTGACTCTCTGGTTGCGTTTAGACTCTTATTCATTTTTGCTCAGCGTCATACTCAAAAATTCTCTCTTGCTCTCAATTGAGTTGCCATATTTTAGGTAAAAATCAACAGTGCTACCAAATTTCAATGAGAATTTATATCAAAACATATGGCAGTGCTGTTAAAAAAACAAATATTTTCAAAGATTGTGGATGTTTTTTAAGGAATTTATAATAAAATGGAAGAAAAATAATTTTTTCAATAATATTCCCCAAGTTCCTTGACATTATTGTTTATTGAATAATAAATTGATTTTGGTTTGCACAACGTAAAATTTTCTGTCAGAAAATGAAAACAAATAATTGACATTTAGCGCCGCTAACGCTAACTCTTTCGTATGGTTTTCACGCCGGCGAAAAAGTATGACGCTGAATCGTGACTCTCTGGTTGCGTTTAGACTCTAAGAGTCTAAACGCAACCATAGAGTCTAGAGTCAGCGACAGCCGTTTGCCGAGTGTTTCTTATTGGCTACGGGAAATCGCGACGGCTGACGTTCGCGTCTAGCGGCATGACGCTAGAATAGATTTTATTCATTTTTGCTCAGCGTCATACTCAAAATTTCTCTCTTGCTCTCAATTGAGTTGCCATATTTTAGGTAAAAATCAACAGTGCTACCAAATTTCAATGAGAATTTTTAACAAAACATATGGCAGTGCTGTTAAAAAAACAAATATTTTCAAAGATTGTGGACGTTTTTTAACGAATTAATAATAAAATGGAAGAAAAATAATTTTTTCAATAATTTTATCCAAGATCCTTGACATTATTGTTTATTAAATAATAGATTGATTTTGGTTTGCACAACGTAAAATTTTCTGTCAGAAAATAAAAACAAATAATTGACATTTTGTGGCGCTAACGCCAACTCTTTCGTTTGGTTTTCACGCCGGCGAAAAAGTATGACGCTGACTCGTGACTCTCTGGTTGCGTTTAGACTCTAAGGTGTAACAATCTAAAAATTGGGGTTTGGAATTTAATTGATTACAAAATTACATTAGTCGGTAAAAGTCGAAAAACGATTTTGAGCTGGTTTGGACTTTTTAGTCAGAGGCAAAAATCGAAACACGGTCAGAAGTCAATGCCGCACTAACTGCAATCTGAACGGCGTCACTTATACTTAGGCAATATCCAAACACTTGGCAACTATTTGCTACGCTACGTATTTTGTAGCATACTTTAAGGAGAAGTCATTATTTGTTAGTGCAAAAGCAGAGTTTTATTTTATTTACAAAATTAAATCCACTCCAAATCGCGATTTGCTCCAAATCCTATGCTAAAGGCGCGTTTAGACTGTGCCTTCTAAATCTACTCGATTTGTAAATCCGGATATCAAATCATAACTGTTTAGTATTCAAATGAAATGAAGTGGATTTGTCAGCTGTTATTTGTTTACGTAAACATACACATTTCACTGCTGTTATTATCTCTAAGGCAAATGGTTAATCATTATTTTCATAATTTTGTTAGGAACTGCTCTATATTAGGTCAGAAATGCAAAAACACATTTTTTTTTTAATTATAACAATCATGGTATAATATTAGAAGGTACAACAAACTATACAACAACCACATGGAAATTTGTTGTAAGGTATACTAGTGTCAACATCATTTGACAGAAAAATGTAAACATACAAATTATATTTATCTTGAAAATGAAATATTTTCCAATCCTCAAAATAAAATTTGTAAAACATGAATGAAAATCTATCAAATTTATATGTCTATAGCTTCCACATCTTTCCTATAATTGAGTCATTGCCATACGTGTAACACATATGAAAATGCTGGGAATAGCGAGTTGTTCCTTGAAGAAAGATTTGCTTCCTCAAGCTTTCCCAGCAGTCAGATTGAGTATATTGAATACGATAGCACATTTAATAAGGAACAATTTCAAATTTTATGTGTTCCCAATTTTCCTGTTGGGTGATTTTTAAAAACATAATATTGACACTAGTATTACGTTGGAATCAAATCAGCTGGGTTTTGCTGTTACCTTTTATAATTGTACCATGTACGTCGACTTACCCTTCGCCCCTTTTTATGTAGACAATTTGCCTCCAATTAGTATACTTCCAGCGATATCTAAAGTTGCTCAGCACTTAATGAAATTCCAAATTTTAGAGTACATTAATGGTAGGAAATTGTTGACCAATCGTCACTATGGTTTTAGTGGTGGTCATAGTACTGCTACATATATGATCCACCTTACGGATACCATTAGGGAAGCAGTTGGTGGCAGTAATTACGGTGTATTAGTGAGAAAGCTAAAAAATAATTTTATGTTCTGTCACACTGCTTGTATGTTGACTTTTTTTGGTGTATATCGCGACGTTCTCAGTTTGTTCAATTTAATGGAAGTTTTTCTGGGTCCACCTATTTCTTGTACCATGGCCTATAAATAAGGTCACCCAGGGAAACCAGCTGGAAATCGATACCTCTCAAGTTTGCTGTCAAAATGCATTATTGTGAATTGACTTCCATTATGAAAACGTAAACATAGTCGATATTTTTGACATTAGACTTTAGAAAAAACAGCTGTTTTCCGATTTCGATTGCTATCTTGGTGACCTTATTAATAGATCTTGGTAAACATAGTCGAAATTTTTGACATTAGACTTGGTACAATACAAGATCTATTAATAAGGTCACTAAGATAGCAATCGAAATCGGAAAACAGCTGTTTTTTCTCAAGTCTAATGTCAAAAATTTCGACTTTTTTTACGTTTTCATAATGGAAGTCAATTCACAATAATGCATTTTGACAGAAAACTTGAGAGGTATCGATAATCAGCTGGTCTCCCTTGGTGACCTTATTTATAGGCCATGTATTGTACCAAGAGTGGAACCATGATGCAATAATAAGGTGATGTATCAAAACAAAGACATTTGTTTTTCTCGATTATCTGTCAAAATTTTCCATATAGTAGAAATTACGCACTTTGACTACCTATTCATTGTACCATGAGTGGAACCGTTTTTGTTAGGCTATCACTTCGAGTGAATGACAAATGTTGTGAACGCCGGCGAAGCCACAATGGCATCGTTATCTACAAAAAAACAAAATAAACATTGTTTATGTCTATTCTATTAAGCATTGTAAACCATGAATTCCCTAGAAAAGATGAATCCTTTAGACAAGATACAAGTTCTTGATGATATTGAGAAAGAGATTATTTTATGTTTGCAAAGTGCAGGTTTGTGATTTTGTGTTTACAATTTATTATTTTATAACGTAGTTCAACATTACAGGTCAGGCACTACAAGAACTGAGCAAAGAAAAATCTTCGCAAAAAAGCGCAGAGACTCAGACGGCTCAGTTTCTAAAATCACTGCAAAATGTTGAAATGAAACTCAGCGAACAAATTAATTATTTAACGCAAGTATCAACAGGTCAGCCTCATGAAGGTTCTGGATACGCTTCCGCGAAAGTTCTTCAAATGGCATGGCATCGAATATCACACGTACGTTCAAGAGTAAGGGAATTAGAAGAAACAAAAGCAAAATATACACATGCCGCTAGGCAACAACAACAGCAAAGACAGCAACAGCATGCTGCCGCTGCAGCCCTGCAACAACAAATTGCGCAACAACAGTCTCTACAAGATTCAAATATTGGGGCAAGCTCAAATCAAGGTTCAGGACTAATGTCACAAAATATTGTAAATAATCAAGGCGGAGGAAACTAAATTTTGTAGTTTTTATAAATATTATTTTATATGTATACTTTATTTGAAATAAATATTAGTCAACTATTTCAAAGGAATCTATACAACTGTATAGTAACTGTATGGTTTGTGCTGAAAATAGATGTAGTTCTATTTTACCTGTTAAAAGTGGTGTGCCTCAGGGGTCGGTTTTGGGCCCGCTACTTTTTATTTTATTTCTTAACGATCTTTTTTCAGAGCTGAGTTTTTTTTTGTGAACCATTTGCTTTTGCTGATGATGTTCAGTTGTTATTCAAAGGAGATTGTCGTTTTGCATCAGTGTTTCAGTCAATGATGGATTGTGCAATGAAGGTTTTATACGGCTGGGTAACTAGAAACTCTTTGTGTTAACTCTTCGAAAACAAAAGCGCTTTTTTTGGTTCGTTTACTAATAGTTTTGTATCTGTTGCCTATGATGGTAGATATATTGAATTTGTCTCCGAATTGCTGTGCCTTGGGGTGGTCATTGATGATAAATTGAGTTTTGGAAAGCACATTAATATGATTGCATTCCAGATGAATTCTTCCCTTCGGGGTCTTTATGCCACGGATTTAGCTGTGCCATTTTTTCTTAGGAAGCGGTTGGCTTTTGCATTGGTTTTGCCCGCTTTTCTATACTGTTTGGAAGTTTACTCCGGTTCTAGTTCCTTTAATATGCGTCTCATTCAGTTGGCTGTTAACAGAGTTATCCGGTATGTGTATAGATTGATTACCCGTACCCATGTCACGCCATATGTAATTGACTTCTTTGGTTGTTCTTTTCATTCTTATATTGATTCACGTTTGCTACTTAGTTTTTTTTTAAATGGTTAAGAATCAGTGTCCTCAATTTTTGGTAAGATGCTTTGTTTTTTGCTCGTCTACTAGGCGCAATCAGCTACAGATTCCCGTTGTACACCATCGAATGAATGATTCGTTTTTAGTTCGTGTTGCGCGGCTGTACAACGCTTTACCCATTGAATTAAAAAAATTCAGTATTACCACGATCACGTTTTATAAAAGGCTTGTTCGTCACCTTGTATGATAATTTTTTTTTCCGAATTGCACATTTGTATGGCGAGTATAGACTGCCATAGGTAAAATTTATATTATAGTTATTTTTTAAGAACTCTTTATGTATAGAATTTTAGTTTTATTTTTTTATGGATTTAGTTTGGATATGTCTGAAATGTCCGTTTGTTGCGCCATGTACAGACGAGCGTTGTTCGCTCACTCATTCCTTCTTCGACCCTTAATTATGAAGTAATTACTTAGTTCCCCATACAAAATTTTCTGAGCGAACACCTACTTTTGTACGTTGTTCAATTCGAATCACTCTCTGAATAACGAAGAAATTTGTCCCATCCCTAACAATTGAGAGTATTTATCGAAAATAAATTAATTTTGACAGCTTGAAAATATTTATCAAATTTTCAAACTTTTTCAGTCAAATTGAAAATGATGAATGAAAAGTAAAAAATTGTCTACGAAAATTGTATGCAGAAAGATCTAAATTTAGTTGTCTAGATAATGCAATATGCATTTCTTTCCCATTTGTTCTAATTAGCGTACAAAACAAGAAACAAATGTGGGGCCACCCAAAAAAAACTCTCCAATTTTTTATATGTGACATTTGAATTGAGAAAATATAAAAATTTATGAAAACAACAATATTTTCAGAAAAAATGGAAAACATGAATTAAAAGTTAATAGATATGGGTTCATACTATAGTCAGGAGAAAGAGAATTATTTTTTCTATTTAGATCAACATGTGATTCATGCAAATATGTTACAATTTTGGTTAAAACAAGAAACAAAAAGTTAAAAAAAAAAAACTCTAATGACATGAGTTAAGAATAGTGTTGTATGAACGGGTTAATTCATGTACGTAATTCTGAGAGCGAACTACGTTGTTCGAATGCCCGTCAGAACATGGCATTGGAGTACACCTTTTTCACATGTTATTCAAAACATATCAAATGTAATTCGAGAATTCCATTTGCAATTCACAACATATAATTTGCAATTCGAGAATTCCATTTGCAATTCACAACATATCAGCTGTAATTCGAGAATTTCATTTGTAATTCCTAGAATACCTTTCGAAATTCATAGAATTCCATTTGAAATTCATAATCTTCCATTTGAAATTCATAATCTTCCATTTGAAATTTCAAGTATTTGCGTTTGAAATTCATAAAATTCCACTTGATATTAATAAAATTCCATTTGAAATTTAAATAAATCCATTTGAAATTCTTAACATTTGATTTGAAATACATAATATTCCATTTGTTTTTCATAACATTTAATTATAAATTCGAAAAATATTATTGGTAACACAAAAGGAATATGTATGAATTTGAAATGAATGTTATGAATTACAACTGAAATTTAATGAATTACAAGTCAAATGTAATGAATTTCAAATTGGATTCTTTGAATTTCAAATGGATTTCTTTCAATTTCAAATGAAACTCTACGAAATTCAAATTGAAATATTCGAATTACGAATGACTTTTTTTAAATTTCAAATGTAATTTTTTGAATTTCATACAAAAAGTTTAAAATTACAAATGAAATGTTGTGAATTTCAAATTACATACTCGAATTACAAGTGAAATGTTATGAATTGCAAATTGAGTTTTCGAATTACAAATGAAATTCTCGAATTGCAATTGAAATGTTTTGAATAACATTTGAAAAAGGTGTAGTTAATTTATATTGTTATTCGTAATGTGTCATCTTATTCGGCCTGAAGGCTTTGTATACATGTTATTGTTGAATAAAAATTAAATTAATTAATTGAGAACGTCTGGAACGATTTGGCTTAAATGTTTTTCGGTTTTCTGTAATTGATGTGGACATTTTTGAGAAAAATCCGCGAATATTTTACAAACAATGTTGCATATACACGCATTTTATATGGAGCTTTTATCATTTTGTTCTTTTTTTAATTACATCTGTGAACTATGGAAAAATATCAAAATATTTTTATTTTCTACAATCAATTGGATTGCCATTGCCTTGAAAACATCTATATTTAATAAGTATGTCGTTCAGGGAATGCCGATTTTGAAACGGGATTTATTTTGTTTGAATATAGAGTAACTTTGGGGTAATGTGGACTTGGCACCTAATGTGAACCACCCCCATATCTTAGAAAAGGCTTGAAATAGGACAAAGCCGCGGAACCTTTTCATTAAAAATAGTTACAAATACGCGTTTTTCTGAAAACAGTGTTTTTATGAATGGCGGGTGCGACAACAACCACTAGTCCAATCGGTTCCAATTTTTTAAACGTTACTCTGTGAGTATATAGCTTACGCATGAACTAGGACAAATCCTTGAATTTTTTATTCTTCTGGAAGGTCAATTATTACAACTCAACTAAAATATCGTCGTAATTTTAATGTCCGGACAGCACCCAGTCACAACATGATTAGTAACTTAGTCTCCCGTTTTGAGTAACATGGAAGACAGCACCCAGTCACAACATGATTAGGAACTTAGTCTCCCGTTTTGAGGAACATGGAAGAATGTTAGATCTTCTAGGAAGAAGATGAAACCGATCTGTGGGCAATGAAGCAGTTGTGGAGGTTGTACGACAGAGTGTAAACGAAGATCCATCAGTCTCTACTCGTCGTCGTTGTACTCAATTGGGAATCTCCAGAACATCTCTGCAAAGAATTTTGCAGCGGGATCTTAAAATGTTTCCGTATAAAATTCAAATGGCACAGCAACTGCTCCCCCAAGACCATCAGACACGCCTGCAATATGCTATTCGAATAATTTTCAGAAATTGTGATTTAGCTTGGCCTCCACGTTCACCAGATTGGACCCCTTCAGTCTTTTTTGTGGGGCTATTTGAAGGAAGTTGTGTATATCAATAAACCCCAAACAATTCAAGAGCTTAAGCATAACATTCAAGCAGAAATAAACAAGAAACTCTACGCCCAGTAATGGAAAATGTGGTAAAAAGAGCCAAGAAAATGGACACCAGTTGAGAGTTGTTATATTTCACACTTAAATATAAAAAAATTTTAAACAAAAATATTTAAAAACATAAAAAATAAAAATAAAAAAATTACAGTTATTTTTAATCCTTCAGTCCTTTTTGGACCACCCTGTATTATTAAAAATCGTTTTTTCTTTGTGCATAATATTCAAATTTTTCATCCATTAACAAATCAAAACGAAATTATGTGTTCGAAAAAAAAAACACCAAAAAGAAGGAACAACTCTTGTTTAGTAAAAACGATCAGATTTTTCTGAAATTTTTTCCAGAGGTAGGTATTTTTACCCTAATTATGGGGATATCTTTTTTCTTGTGGTATCATTTTAAAGGTTATAAAAATAGCTTTCCATTGAGTGGTGATATGATAGTTATTTCAAACCGTTTTGGAGATACAGTAAAAAAATTGGTTTTGGTCTCCGATTTTTTTGAAAAAGTTCCTAAAAGTCGAACTTGGGTCCATTATAGTCCCTTTCCAATCATAGACCTCAAATGATAGACCAACAATTTGCCCTTTCCAAAATTGTGCGGTATGTGGCTGTATTATTTGTGGATCAAAAGTTATGGGCCTTAGAATATAATTTACAAAATTTATTTGTTGTTTTTTTTGGTGATTAAATTCCTTATTTTTGATGGCGGGCATGATAACTCCTCACTGGTACATCGGAATCTGAAAATTCCAACGTGGTTAGAAAGAGTTCATGTATTATTGACATCGCTCAAAAAATAACAAGATGGCGGCCTTAATTTTTTTTGGAAATTCGCCTTTTTTTGACTCCCAGAGAAACGTATTAAAATTTGGAACCGATGGGATTATTAGTTTTTGAGTTATCGTGCCCGCCATTCGTAAAAACACTGCCTCGGGAAAAATGCGTTTAAAGTTTGAGAATCATTCTTGCCATCACTTGATGCTAACACGATAAATCGCCTATATCTTCAAGAGTTGATGAGATTTTCACTTGATGAGATTTTCACATTCTTGAATTAGTGTAGATTTGAAAACTAACTAAAAATTTTTGACACCAAGAATGGGGGGTCTCCTTAAATCCCCGTCCGGAGGCCGGCCACCCTAAAAAGTATTCTACTTAACAGGAGATTCTGTTCCGTAACCGGTGTTTGTGTCTGTCCATAGGAGAATGTCCTATATCCCCTGCCGAAGGATGGTCACCCAAAATATATTCTATTTAACAGGAGATTCTGTCGCGTAGACGGTGTTGGCGTTTGTTCATAGGAGATAGATTTAAAGAGTATCTGTCCATCGGTGAAAGTCTTGAAACACCGGCTGAAGGCTGGCCACCCATAAAAAACATTATATTTATAAAGGGTATTCTGCTATTAAAAAAAAAACATTACATTTAAAATGAGATTCAGTAAGATCGATCCGCTTCGTGAACTAGATTGCTCAACTCTACCAGCTGGCCTGGATGACCTTATTTATAGGCCTTGTTTTTTACTTGAATTCGATGTGCAATGTTGCCAACCATGAGAAATACAATTTGACAGATGATCAAAAAAAAAAACAGATGTTTTGTTTTGATACATCACCTTATTAAAGCATCATGCCCCTGACCATATGTACATTTTAGAGGTGGCAACCCTATAGACATGTTGCATAACCCTAAGATAATAATAATATTATTTTGCTATTCCGTGTTGTTAGCTTAAACGCAAAATAATGAATCGATACAGTAGAGCACTGTTTAGTATTTTAAAAAACGACCAAGTCCCACAATTGACACGATCACACTTCACATATTATCCAGATAAATATGTTAAAGATGTGGCAGTTCAAGGTGTTCAAAAAATGAACATGTTCCAAGCCATAAACAGTGCTATGGATAAGGCATTGGAAGAAGATGAAAGTGCTTTACTGTTTGGTGAGGATGTTGGATTTGGGGGAGTATTTAGATGTTCGATAAATCTTCGTGATAAGTATGGAAAAGATAGAGTTTTCAATACTCCCTTATGTGAACAAGGAATAGCCGGTTTTGCTATTGGTGTCGCAAACACTGGGGCAACAGCAATCGCGGAAATACAATTTGCGGACTACATATTTCCAGCATTTGATCAAATCGTGAATGAGGCGGCAAAATATCGGTATAGGAGCGGAGGTATATTTGATTGTGGATCTCTTACATTCCGTGTTCCTTGTGGAGCTGTTGGCCACGGTGCTCTATATCATAGCCAAAGCCCTGAAGCCTATTTTGCCCATACTCCCGGCTTGAAAGTAGTAGTTCCCAGAGGTCCAATAAAAGCCAAAGGATTGCTATTGGCATGTATCAAAGATAAAAACCCATGTATAGTCTTCGAACCAAAAACGTTATATCGAGCGGCGGTTGAGGAAGTCCCAGTTGGAAGTTATGTTTCGGAAATAGGAAAAGCAGACATCCTTCGCAAAGGTAGCGATATTACACTCATTGGTTGGGGTACACAAGTTCATGTCCTATTGGAGGTATTTCTAAGTGTTCCTATTTATAGTTGACAAAGTAAATAATTACTGTATTTATTGTCTAGGTCGCTGAGATGGCTAAAAAGGATCTAAATGTTGACTGTGAAGTCATAGATTTGGTTTCCATTCTACCGTGGGATAGAGAGACTATCGCTAATGTATGTGAGACACATATTATAAGAAAAATATTTATATAATGCATATAAAATTACATTTTCTAGTCGGTGAAAAAAACTGGACGTGTTATCGTGTCCCACGAAGCTCCGTTAACACAGGGATTCGGCTCAGAAATTGCTGCATATATTCAAGATAAGTGTTTCCTCCACTTGGAGGCGCCCGTTAAGCGCGTAACAGGGTGGGATACACCATTTCCTCACGTCTTTGAACCTTTTTACTTACCGAACAAACTGAGATGTCTTTCGGCAATTAAGGAATTGATAAATTATTAAAGATTTTAAACAAATTTAGAATATGTAACTATATACATAAAAGGTAACGGATGCATTTATTTACAAATATATTTTACGAATATACAGATTAAAAAAATAGTTTTATTATATGTAACTTAAGATTTATAATGTTTTTAAATAACCATGTAGTTAAACATGATGTCATAATCGGATTAAAAGGCAGAAAGATAAACATGTGAACGTATTATTTATGAAATTACCTACAAAGAATTACAACCAAATACCTCTATACATGGTATCCCTGCAAGCATTTGGAAGTGAGTTTCTAACTCCCTCTCCAAATAATTATCTACTTCGACACTTATTTTTTGTAAAAGGGTGATACTTCGTAATTTTACAATAACAAATGAATTGTTATCCAATTTCTATCGTCTGTAGTAACTACTTAGTTAAATCAAATGTCATTGAATAAAAATTTTTGGATATTTCTGAATTTTCATTATAAAAAATCTTCGGCCGGAAACATTTTTGATTGCTGTATCAAATAATATAGAAAGATGCGGAAAAGTATTACTGACGGCTTTCCCTTAAATTTAATAATGGACACAATTAACAAAGGTTTATTTTATAATACAAACTGCAAACATGAATTCTGAAATATATATATATATATATATATATTATATGCAGAAAATTTAATATACTTAGAACAAACCAATGGTCAGCAAATGATTTATCATGAAATTTCAACCATTAAACAAGTTAATTTGAGTTATATTATTATTATTAATTGATCAATTGATTTAACTATATAATTTTTTAAAAGCCGCTGCCGGCGATTATCAGTACATAAAACGGTCAAATTGATTAAATTGTTAAGTATTAACAATCATTTTTTATGTTTAAAAGTTAAATTAAAAACTAAAGCAATTTTTATGCAAAACTTACATATAATTTTCTTAAATCTTAAAGATGTTAAAAGTCGGAGTGTTTTTGAACATCAAATTGAAATAAAAAGTCTAAAAGGAACCATGGAAATCTTTTTAAAGGAAACTAACAAAAATCAAGTGGCCACACAGATGTTAATTACATCACTTACGGAGTAAGTAATTACTCTAAAGAATGAGATTATACATTCTATAATGCCTGCTTCCTTAGAAAAAGAATTGCAATTGTTGCCATAGCTGCCATTTTATGCTTTCGACTATTTTAAATATTTTTATGCAAAACTTCTAAAAGAAGATGAAGTTCGGGATCAATCGGTAATAATATAAAACTTTTATCATAATTTCTGCCACCGTTCTAAATACAATTTTTTTACAGAAAATATTAATATATCGTGTTGGGGGAAGAGAAATGTCATCATTTGTTAAATTAGCAATTAAAGCTGTTATAAGTGATCAAAAAGCAATTGAAATAACATGGCGTGGAAATATACAAAAACCCAGTTTTCAGCGAGTTACTACATATAATATAATAAGAGGCAAGTCAGCTTACTTATTTGTTAATTTGAAATTTTACAGATATGTGCCATTTTAAATTTTCCCAGACGTCGTTGTTGGACCTAAACAAAGTTTATCAACAACATATTTTACACGCTCGCGATAGAATACACAAAACCGAACCGAAGACTGTAAATCAATAAAATTCTTGAAAAAATAACTTTTATTGTAATTTAACTAAATAATGTTTTTAGCTATGCTTAGTATTAACCTTAACTTCAATTTTATGTTTATTTAGCGTTAAATGCTCAAAATTTTATGCATAATATACGTTACTCATTATTGTTATTGCAATTGCAATTACTCATTCATACAAGTATTTTATTTCCTTTGGGTATCAAAAAGTCACTACCAGTCGATATAGTATTTTAAAAAATACGGTTATTGAAGAAATGAAGCACGCATTCGTCACCTCTTAAACGTATCTTCTTAGTGAAAGTTGAAAGTAACTAAGGCGATAATATTTAAGTTAACAAAACAGTGTCATTTTGGAGTGTCGCTTTATTAACTTCAAATTGTGACGAAGAAGATACTTTTCAAAGGTAACGAGTACGTGGTTCATTTCTTCCCAAACGGTATAACTTATTTGTTAAAAATACGATATCGCCTACGAGTGTTTTCATCGCCTGGTAGTAACTTTTTGGATATTTTTTGAATAGAAAATGCTTGCTGAGATAATTCTAGAAGGTAACAGCAACTCGCAGCTGATTTGATTACAACCTAATAATCGTTTCAATTTTTATATGACAAATTATGTTTTTAAAAAAGAAAATATCATCCTCAACAACCCTGTCGTGATTGTTGATCAATTTTATTGTGCTCTATACTTATATTTACTCACATACTTATAGAAAAAATACAAAAAAAAATCGTTATTAAAAATTCTGGTCACAAATTTTAGGAAGCTTCTGCTACACTGCTGATATATGTTAACTGTACAATTAAAACTTAAATATGGGGCAAATAATAGACTCCAGTTTTAAGAAACCTTTAATACGTTAGAATTAATACTAAAATTGTCATTGTCAAAACTAGAATTCTTGATGATTATCTTGATTATCAACACCTCAATTGTGTGCAAAATATTCAATAGGTAGATTAATAATTTTTTGGCTAATTATTTGAAAATGTATGAAGTTAAGAAAAAATTAAACAATTTGGGTCAACCTGTTTTATTTATCTATATATATATATATATATATATAAATGGAGCAAGAAAAATGTATACTAACGCATCATTTGAGAACGGCTGGACCGATTTTACTCAAAATTAATTTCAGTTGTAGCTAATTACGGTGGAAGGTTTTTATGAAAAAAAAAAAATTGAAAAAAATCCGCGGAAATTGACTTAAAATTTCTGTTAGTAGTCTGTAATTGACGTGGAAAGGTTTTTATGAAAGAACATTTTGAGAAAATCCGCGAAAATGTTGCAAAATATATTTTGAAAGATATTAGCATTTTCACACATTTTATATCGAACCTTTCATCTCTTCGTAGTTCTTTTTGGAGATATTTTGGGCGGAAAGATATACTTTAAGTAATTGTCAATTATGGAAAATTCTCAAAATATGTTAATTTTCTACAATTTATTGGATTATCATTGCCTTGAAAAAACTATCTAAATATGTGTATAAAATAGAACCAATAGACGCAAAAACCGCTGAACAGATGTTAATGAGATTTACACAGTATGTCATGACGTGTCCTGAAAGTAAAATAGGATATATAAACTTCTAAAATTCCGCGTGGATGCAGAGTTATGTCATCAATAGTGAACACACCTCAAAATTTCTGTACATTAATATGCGTATATCTTTATAAAGGTAATAGACACCGCACAGTGGGGAAAAAATACAGATCTAGCGCGCAGAAAATAAAAGTAGATGTTTTACTGTATGTTTATCGATATTTTTGATAAGAATAGATTTAGATGGACAATTTTAATTATTTTATGAAAAAATTAACCCATTAAGCGCCGATTTTTTTTTAGAAAAAACTTAAGTTTTTAGGTGAAAATTACTATTTTGAAGCATTTGAAACATTTTTAAATAAGCAACATTTTTCGTTATAACTAATAGTACGCCTAAAATGGGAGCTTCTTTCAAAAATTCCGAAACATTTGGAGGGTAAAAAGTGGGTTAAGGGCAAACACTATTGTTATTATATATATCTTTATTATTGTTAATATTACATATCTAAAACATTAAATTATATAGTAGTAGTTTAAGGACTTCTTCAGATAGTGGCTCACTATATCGATGGTTAAGAGATGTACTACGAGACAAACTTGATATTTTTGGGTCAGAAGAAAATAGCAACCTATTGAAAAGATCCCTCATTGTTTCCTCACGACTAATTTTTCTGGTGTACAGTTCCCTGTAGTTCCGAAAGTCCTTATTTCTGGATTCCATGGCTTCTTCAGACAACATTCCTATGGGCAAAGCTGCACATTTAATTATATCAGCTCCATGCACTAATATTTTGTGTATGCTTGAAGGCATATAGAACCAAGGATATAATTCCACGAAAAAAATAAATGTTTCCTCAGTAAATTTTTCAAATGACTCTGCGTTAATAGCATACCCACAGGCCATAGTTGAAAGGATGACACTACAATTTTTAATTAATTTTTCATCAACACCAGTTATCGACGATGCCAAGCCAGGTTGGCTAAAAAACGTCTAGCAGTATTGCCATCGTTTGTTGTTCCGGATACTGACTTAGGTGTATCAACAATAATGTGCATTACTTCCTTCAAATCATTAATGATACGTGCCTTCCTTTCTTCGAAAAGTGGCCGATCGGAGCTATTAATTTTGCACTTTTTCAAAACCAGACGGTATGAAATGTGCAATATACATCCTAAACAACGAATCCTTGCATGTAAGGTCATTGGAAAACCCATAACAGGTATAATAAAAGTCGATAAACTCCACCTCCACGCACAAAATTTCCGTTTGCTTATAGCGAAAACCATATATGTAGGTAAAACCATGTATATATGAATGTTACACCAATGATATTTGTTCAGGGTTCATAAAGTAGACCCTTTACCTGCGGTATTTGAGAAGACTCTTACAACCGATTTCGTTGTAATTTCAATTTGTATTTAGAAAGTCATTTGGAATCAATGTATATTCAGTGCATGAGTTTAATATCAGTGTTTGGAGCAGCTTACATAAATACCCTCATTTTCATACTCACACCCATTACTCTGGAACCTTAGGACGAACATTTTGAACTTGTTTTTTCTTATCTGCTATGCTGTGATCTATTCCAAGTCATATTTGATCAATTATATCAACAAAATTCACAAATTTTTAATTTTATTTAAACAAAACCTTAAAAAAAGCATAACTTATGGGTTATATAACTATACCATTTAATTAAATACCAATACTATATATCAAAAATGGACAAAATTTTATAATAATATATTCACAGAATGCACGCGACCATCGCAATTTTATAGCTAAAAAATACCATTTTTAACATTGGAAAAAAATTCTATTTTAAATGTACCGTTATTCCGTTCTAGCTTATTAATTCGGATTATTTTATACGGACTTAAGTACTCTCAACACTCTACTTTAAAACTGCATTAACGTTTTAAAGTTTCCTTCTACTTCATTTTTTTTATTATCTGCGCGCTAGATCGGTATTTTTTCCCACTGTGCACCGTCTTCAAAATTTGTCTGAATAACGTAGGTGTGTATTTACATCATCCATTCAAAAATCAGCGTGGTACGATTGGGGAAAAATGCAGTCCCCGTTGCACTTAAATAATTTGCATACAGCGAAAATAAAATTTTTAGTTTGATTAGTCAAAAACCGCTCAACAGATTTTACTGAGAATTTTACAGCACTTCATGCTACCCGATAGAAAAATCATAGGCGAAGTTATAGCATCAAAAGTAATCACAAATCTGAAATGACATAGGTATTCTATGTTTATATCCTATCAATAAATAGTAGCATTTAAACTAAATACAAATAGTTTTCTACGTGAACGATCCTATGTTAATCACTTTAGTAGGGGCAGCGAAGCGCCACGGGCCCATCTAGTTTTACATAAAAATTAACTTATTCAAAGTTTTATATTTAAATATGTTTATATTTAATATTGTTTATTGTACTTCGTAAAATTGTGTACCTTATTAAATACAGGATCCATTTTAAAATCGAAAACCATTTCGACTAATAGAAGATTCTTCTAGGTTCTGAAAATGACCAATATTGGTACGAAACTCAAAATCTAAATGTCCTCAATGTAACAACGATGTAGCAACTGTATGACTAAAGAACTAGAAAATAAGTAAACATTTTTAGATTTCAGTATAACTATACAAGTACTGCAAGACTATATCTAATATATGTTTCAGTTTACTAAAATAAAAATTGATCAAGGTTTACAACATAAATATATCTAAATATGAGAGATTATAGAGATAGGTGACAGATAGAGGACAACCATTTTATAGATGACAGGCATATATTTTATATGATTGTCCTCTAAAAAGGAGAACATATGGACACCATACTAAGTAGCCAGTATTCTCTACCGCCTAAATTTAAGGACTTCGTTTCCCGACTATGAAATTTTTGTTAATTTTTCAACGTATTGATTGTTGCTCAGCATGACCATCATTTATTTTATTTAGTTATGACTGGTTAGTCCATTATATTAGGTTCATAAAAAATTCTATAGACCACGAATTAGATTTGAAGCATGATCTTTCAAATTGGAGGAGATGCGTACAAGACGGACGCGCTTGGAAATCTTTTTTTAAGCTCGACTTATGGAACAACCGTAAATCTAAATCATTGTTTCCTCCTCATTGTTTTGCATTAGGATTTGACTGTTGCCCATTTGGTCGACGCCTTGTGCCATCCATTTTTGGACACTTCAGTGGAGATGGAATTCAAATCTGGCTTTTTACTTTATTAAGAAATAAAAGGCAGTTTGGTGGCCTCCGACTGAATAACCCGACCTCTACCACATTTCCGTAAATCTTTATTTCAAAACCGCCTAAATTTAAAAATTAGCGAAATAAAGATTTACGGAAATGTGGTAGAGGTCGGGTTATTCAGTCGGAGGCCACCAAACAGCCTTTTATTTCTTAATAAATTAAAAAGCCAGAAATAAAATCTGTATGATTCATTTTCAACAGGTTTTCTAATTTCATTTTATATGTTGTTATTGAGTTAAAAATATTTAAAAAAAAATAGTTTAGGGTCGTACCGAATTTATTCCGCTCCGTACAAAAATACTCACCTTCTCACCATTATAGGTGTTGTTAGCCGCCCGTATTACCCAAATACGCAAGGACTTTATTTGCATCTGTGCCAATTGAAAACGGCGAAAATGGATGAACAATTTTTTTTTCATTGATCGAAGCTATAAGCTGAGAATTAGGAACAAGGTCCTCAAGTCGCTAGGCGGCAGCACTTGCAACCTGACAAAGAAACCTTCATGACACCATTGTACCGACTTCGCGAGGGGAAGAAAATATAGAAGATAGGCCGGCATGAATAAAGAAAGTGATTTTGCAGAAAATTAGTTTTGAATGCATCACAATAGAGAAGCAGGCGTCATGACAAACACGATTCCACGACAGAGGGGTCTACGATCCGAAACGACCCGAGTCTTACTCGGCCAACGACTGTCAACTCAGCCCGTTGTGTAAAAGCAACAACAACAAACGCGATAAGTCTTGAGCTATGATTTGGATGGTGCAACCGCCTCAATTCCTATTGGGCAGCACTGGCTCTGATGAAAATAATAAATAAAGGCAATGTACACATCGGGTTAATACAGGAACCTTGGATTGTTAAAAACAAGGTATCTGGATTACGCCACATAAATTACCAACAGTTTTATGCAAACACAGGTTCTCGTCCAAAACCTATATAATGCCACAGTTAAATCCAAAACTATATTAGAATGTATAAAAACCATAAACAATTTCTCGTAATTTGGTCTCGTAAGAATAATCAATTATGTAGTTTTAACTTTTAAGGTAAAGTTAATTTTGTACGATCTATATTGTAATTCTATTTATTAATGGGCTCTATTGCCCATTAATAAAATTGACTTTTTGAATGAATATTGTGAATGTCAATAAACTACATGTGTTGACAAAGTTTTACACGTCTGCGGTCAAAAAAGGAGCTTCTATTAACAAAAAACAAAAAGACGTAACTACAAGTGGGTTTATTTGATTAATGCAAAAAAGGGTAACTAACAAAAAATTCAACTTTTAACTTAATTGTTATGACTGCCATTAAACTAAATAACTAAATTTATTAACAAAATTATAGTCTATTATTCGTCATATGCAATATCACCCTGCCGGGCATACTTTTTCATTTCACATGACATGTTTATAGTTTTCATTCAAAACAGTTTTTTGCTTCTCCTACACAATTATGCTTTTGTTAGTTACACCTTTTTGCATTTTAGTTGGCGATATATATATATATATATATTTTAATTGTTGTTTATATGTATATATACATTAAGGGGGCTTAATTTCAGAACCATCGAGTATTGTCTTTTTAACTATAAAGGACACAAATATAGCACCAATATAAGTTATAAACATGAAATATCCCTACGTTATTTATTCCAGTGTCCACAAAGAAGAAATATGTTTGCAGTGTTAAAAATTAAAATATGCAATAACGCAATATTAAGTGCGGTCTCAAATAAAAAAAATATACTAGTCTTTTTTGTGAAAAATGCAAAATATATATGCCCTTTTTATTGATCATTTATGTGCAACTTAATGCATTTTAATAAATTGGAGAAAAAATATTAAATAGTTAATTTCATACGTTGGAATAAATATAGTAAAAAAGATGGTACTTCTATATCCAGAAGGCATTGTTTCGCAATGTTGTTTGATCGTAACATATACGTATATATTAAGCTTCAAGCTTGGTCTTTGCGAATTCTTCTGCAAGTTTAACTATTTCGTGGACGTTTTCATAGTTTGACCCTGATGCTTGTGCGGATTCAGGCTTACCGCCGCCTTTGCCATTAAGAACGCTAGAAATATGCTGTACCCACTCATTTGCTTTCAAACCTTTTTCGACGGCACACTTGGGTACCGAAGACAGACAAAATATTTTCTTCGAATCAACATCGACTGACAAGAACATAGCAGAAGTGTCGGGGTTTAGCAAACGCACCTGCTTCAGGGCAGCGTCCAGAGCCTTTGTGTTGTTATAAGCGTCTAATTGTTCAACGAAGAACAACGCATTAGGTTTTGATGTGCACAACTCTTTAGCTTTTTCCACAACTTGAACTGCGACTAGGTTCTTCAGAGCGCGTTCCTTATCGTCTAATTTTTTCTTAAGATTTTTAAGATTGCTTCGCATTTCATCTTTCTTTACGTGCGGAATTATTGCGCGAGAAATTTCTTCATTTATTTCCACGATTTGTTTAACAATATTTTTTGAGTTTTGCCCATTAGCATCTTCTTCTATAGCCTTGTTAATTTTTTCTATTTCAGCTTGAAATAAGTTTGACTTATTGATAGCTTTTATTGCTTCGGGTCCAGTAAGAGCTACAATACGTCGTATGCCCTTTGAAATAGCTTCCTCGCTGCTAATTACAAAGTCCACAATGTGGCCCGATCGCTTCAAGTGAGTACCTCCACAAAATTCAACAGACGTTTTTTCACCAGCATCACCATCAGGATTTTGCTCCAATTCCTCAACAGGAACACCAAAAGATATTACTCTAACTGGATCTGGGTATACTTCATCAAAAACGGAGCGTAAACCACGAATAGTTTTGGCAATTTGCAGTTTTGACTCTTTTGCATATATGGGGACGTTTTTGTAAACAAGATCTTTTGTTAGTTGTTCCGTGTTAGCAATCTGTTCAATAGTCAATGCTGACTTGCTACTAAAATCAAATCGCAATTTTTCGGGCACTACTAAGGACCCTTTCTGGTCCGTGTCTTTGCCCAACACTTGTAACAGGCTGTGATTAAGAGCATGCGTTGCAGAATGATTTTTCATAGTCAGCGATCGTCTTATTGTATCAATTTGTAGATTTAATTTATCTCCCACAGAAAGTCGTCCCTCAACAGTACCGATGTGAAGTATATAGCCACCTCTGTTGTACACACTGTCGACAATAAATTCGTTTTCTTCTTCATCAAGTTTTACTAAAACACCTTGGTCATAAATTTGACCGCCACTTTCCGCATAGAAATTGGTTTTATCTAAAACAATTCCAACCTTTTGTCCAGAATTTACTGTTTCCACAAACTCATTATTGTATCTTATGGCAACGATTGTTCCTGTACATGGGCTAAATTGGTATTCGGATTGAGGATCGTCTGACACACTTTCATATGCATATTTGAAACTGTCGTCTGTTACCGGTATTTGTTTGTCTTTTAGTTCAGAAATTGCGTGGACGTCGAGGTTGATTTCATTAGCTTTACTGACGCCTTTGCCCTGAGAAAGAATATACGAATTGTGTTTCGCAGCTTCGTATCCTTCCATATCAATTTGCAGACCACGCTCTTCAGCCATTAGTTGAGTCAAATCAACAGGAAATCCATATGTATCGTATAAACGCCAAGTGACGTCACCCGGAATAACTTTCTCATCTCCGAGTTTGGCGATGGTCCTATTAAAGAGGTTCCTGCCCCTTGATAATGTCTTTAAGAATTGGGTTTCTTCCTCATTTATGATATCAACTATGTGTTGAGGATCCTTTTTAACTTCAGGGAAGGCATCACCCAGTAAATCAATGACAGTGTAAACAAGAGATGCGAAGAATCCCGGTTTTGCATTTAATTTTTCTGTAGCATATCTACAAATAGAAAAAAACATATTATTTATAGACGTATCAGTGTACCCAGCTTAACTTAATCTTTATGAAGAGCCTGGAAAAATATGTAGATTTTCATCGCACAAATTATTCTATGGCAGATCCACTCAGTAAAATGTGTATTGATTTTAATTCTTTGTACTCTAATGTTGATTTTTGCAAGAATATAGAAGTTATAAAATCTAACATAATTGTATTTTTAAATGAGTAGTACTAATTAATAATAAAATAAACTGGCTGTATCGGTTTTCTATTCCCTTCTCATATTCCATCATGATGCGCATTATGGTGCGTACGCGATCTCTACTAAAGGCGAGGCCGCCTCCTCGGTCGGCAGGGGTGGAATAGTGAGGCGTGGGAACGTTCCAAAAACAACATTGCGGCCGATACTTACATACTTCGATTTATTCAATATTTCAATTTCAGCTAATTTGTTCAACAAACCAATGCCCATAGTTATAATCCTAAATTATATATATATACATATATATATATATAAAATAGAAAAAAATTGTTTGTTTGTATGTTACCGATAGACGCAAAAACCGCTGAACAGATCTTAATGATATTTACACTGTATGTCGTGGCATGCCCTGAAAGTAACATAGGCTAGATAAACTTCAAAAATTCCGCGTGATTGCAGAGTTGTAGCATCAATAGCAAACATATCTCAAAATTTCGAAACATGTAATATGCGTATATCTTGGAAACGGTTACAGGTATGGCTTTCAAAATTTGTCTGGATAACGTAGGTATAAATACACATCATCCATACAAAAATGATCGGGGTACATTAGGGGGAAATGCAATCCCCATTGCATTTAAATAATTTACATATAGAAAATAAAAAAAGTTTTGTTTGAAAAGTCAAAAACCACTGAACAGATTTTACTGAGATTTTTACAGCACTTGATGCTACCCAATAGAAAAAATAAAGGCTAGATAAAATACTAAAAATCCACGTGGATGTCGAGTTATACCATCAAAAGTATTCCCAACTCTGAAATATCATAGACATTCTATGCTTATATCTTAAGAAGGGTTACAGATTACCACATCAAAATTTGCCTGAGTAAATTGGTTACAAATACGCATTATCCTATAAAAATTGGCGTGAAACAATGGGAAGAACTTTTCCCAATTGCATTTAATTTATCTATATATACAAAAAAGAAACGTATTTGGTTGTAGACACAAAAATCGCTGAATTGACTTTGCAGACATTTTCGCAGTTAGTCATGGCATCCCATGGAAGTGAGATAAGCAAAATAAACTTCAAAAATTTCGCGATAACGAGGTGTTATAGCATCAACTGTAATCATACCTCTGAACTAATATTCATTTTCTATGAACATATTAGAATAACTTGAATAAATCTGTTCATAAAAGTATGTATGATACTCAGATAAGTACAAATCCAATCCTAAATTACCAGGAAGTAAAAATTGGTCCAAATCAGAAATCTTCGACTCATAATTTTTTGTCCAATTATGATATTATCAGTAATGATAAAAACCACCAGTTCAGTAATTCCGCGAACGTCTGCTGTTTTTTATCTCTGCATTTTCATCACATATTTGAATAAAATTTGTGTAAAATGAAAATTATTACATTTTGTCATTAAAAAAAAAAAAAAAAAACATTTCAGTTAAGGAACTTTTTTCGAATTTCAATAATTCTACAACCATTGGGGAAAATAAACATGAATTCAATAAAAGTATGAATACTTGGGAGATATCCAGTAACGAAATGTTGATGGTGGATTAAAAGTTATAAAAATCTGAAATCTTTGGTGGTTTATCATCATAGCTGGAGAAATGATGCCAACTTTTAAACGAAAGCATTTTAGAAGGATTGAATATGAAGATTTGACTGAAATAAGAGATGTGATTTTGTTTATTAAGTTTAGTTGATCAAACTGATATGACAAAAACTATTATTTCGAAGATGTATAGAGGAAACGACAAACTAAACTTATACATTAACCAGCTGCTACGATATAATTACTAATATTACAGTACGAAATATCTATAGCCGAACAGTAATCTTCGAATTTGGCTACTATAATACCTATATATCATGCCTATCAATAAATAGTAGCTTTTAAACTGCATACAAACAGTTTTCTACGTGAACTTTCCCATTTTAATCACTTTAGTAGGGGCAGCGAAGCGCCACGTGTCCAGCTAGTATATATATATATATATATTGCATTTTGCGGGCTTTTGTTAATTCTATTACAGAAATGTCAAATAAATCCTCATAGACAAGCTTAAACCGGCAAAAAGTCCCAATGTTCAATGGTTTGATAGATACAATAATTAGGTACAATAATTAGGTTTCGGTAGATCTAAGGTCTTTTCTTACTTAAAAGTTCAAATCGTTGGATTCACTAACTATGATAACTATGAAATGTGAAGAATTATCATTATATAAATGAATTGCTTACTATTTATCCTCAGGTTATTGTATTTCATTATACGCCAGAAATAGTGAACGATTATTTACACTCAGTACTCTATAATGTGAAAAAACCTCGAAGAGGTTCTCAAGTCAAGATCTGAGCGTAAGAAACAATCACTTATTAGCGAATTCTTTCAATGAAATAGTTCAAATCCTGATATAGTGAACAGACCTTGCAGAAATTAGTTCACTTTATCCAGACACGACTGTATATATTTTAGGGATATTTCTGTATAGGTATATAGGTCCGGAATAGTTCACACTAAAATGCATAGCATTTTCTAAAAGTCTCTCATGGCTAAGGTACAACATATAATATAATCTTCTATCCATTCCCCTTCTCATCAATCCTATCTTTTCAGATAATCGATATAAACACAATAAACTAAAGGTCTCCATGTGAAACAACCTCTATAACAAACGAACTCAATTATCATTTTCGAGGTGAAAACAAATTCCAGTAAAATTTAGCGCAATTATATATAGAATATCAAATTTACACAGACTGATTAAGATATTAGTGGCGTATATAGATAAAAAAAATATGACGTAGAATAAGAGAAGTGACGGGATCACCATACATATACTACACTAACAACTAAAGGTTCCTACGACATGTTTGAAATGTATTGAAAATGTATAGATTAGCTTATTTTAAAAATTCGCTATTGTTAAGAAAAATTAAAAGAATACTGGTACTTAAAATAATTGTTTTTATATTTGACCGTAATAGATTAGTATAAAATTAATAAATTTAATTGTTACGATTTGGACCATATTTGTGGAAATTAGAGGAATTTAAAACTCAAATTTTAATTTTTAAGCATGTGTAAGATTAAGATTAGAAAACATGTCATGAAGAAATTATACACTTACCTTACAGCACGACGCAAAATTCGACGTAATACATAACCCCGACCCGAATTGTCGGGTACTCCTCCATCGGCCAAAGCAATAGTAAGAGTTCTTGCATGATCAGCCAAAACTCGATATGCCATATCTACCCCTGTACTATCTTCTGCGCCAACCTTGCCTCCATAGGGAACACATCCGGTGCCGGTTTGAATAGCATCAAAAAGTGGTACAAATATGTCGGTGTCATAATTTGAGCGTTTATTTTGTATGACAGAAACTAAACGTTCAAAACCCATACCACAGTCAATATGTTTCTTAGGCAGTGGTTTCAATGTTCCATCTTGTTCTCTATTAAATTGAATGAAAACTAAATTCCATATTTCCAATACATCAGGATCATCCATATTTACAAGCTCGGGAACACTTCGACCACCTATGCGATCATAATGCAGTTCAGAACAAGGACCGCAAGGTCCAGTCTCTCCCATTTCCCAAAAGTTATCCTTCATGTTGCCTGGTATAATATGTTCGGGCTTTAAGCCTAAGTCCAACCACATTTGCTTGCATTCCAAGTCGGGGTCCAAACCACTTACTTCATCTCCACCAAAGTAAGTCACATACAATCTATCTTTATCTAAACCCAAACGTTCCGTTAAAAACTCCCATGCCCAAGCACAAATTTCCTTCTTGAAGTAATCGCCAAACGACCAGTTTCCCAGCATTTCAAAGAACGTGTGATGGTATACATCTTTGCCAACATCATCTAAATCGTTATGTTTACCACCAGCACGAATACATTTCTGGCTATTGACTACACGAAGCCATTTGGACATATCACTATTAGGATCAGCGGTTCCTAAGAATATGGGCTTGAACTGATTCATGCCGGCATTTGCAAATAGTAGCGTTGGGTCATCCAACGGAATCGTACTAGATGAATGTACATAAATATGATTTTTCTCCTTGAAAAAATCAATATATGCTTGGCGGACTTCGGCAGCAGTTAGAAAGTGCATTTTGGTGATCCAGTCACAAACCTGAAATGAATAATAATGTACTAAGTGCCACGCAATTCGCGAAATATTACATATATCGACTATACACGTGTATGCACACGAATTCACTTAAGTAGGACAAATTAAAACTATGTTGTCTTATACTTATTTCGAAAGTGTACAGAAGATCTATGCTATAATAAAAATTGATTAATCACAAAATACACTGCTTTGCCACCTACTTAATCAAAAGTGTTTTAATTTAAAACGGCGAATGCAATGCAGAATATTAACTGTGGATAGAGATAGGTAAATCTACATTCGACTAATCGTAATAACCATGGCCTATAAATAAGGTCACCAAGGGAGACCAGCTGTTTATCGATACCTCTCAAGTTTGCTGTCAAAATGCATTATTGTGAATTGACTTCCATTATGAAAACGTAAACAAAGTCGAAATTTTTGACATTAGACTTGAGAAAAAACAGCTGTTTTCCGATTTCGATTGCTATCTTGGTGACCTTATTAATAGATCTTGGTAATAACCATTTCAATACTTACTTAAGCTATGTAAACACTATCAAAATTACCGATAACAATTGTTTCCTTGTTGACCTGTTTAATGGGCCTTATTTGGGTATCTGCTATTGTATATTCGAAATGCTTTGTGTAAATAATTTTTTTACTGTAATTTTTTTATCTATTGCTGACTGTCCACAACCATGAATATTTTCGTGATTGCCTGATGAATGACGGTCATAAGTGGCTAAATTGTCACTTAAAAGTGATAGTGTGTATACCGCTTTTAAGTATCAACATCGATTACTAACTATCCAATAGTTTGGTTCAAATTTTGTTTTTTAAATCCTGTGATCCTAGGCATAATAAATAGGTGATTTAGTCCATTTAGTGCAGCTGAATTTCCGATTAGATGTCAAAATGCATAGTTCATGGCCTATAAATAAGGTCATCCAGGGAGACCAGCTGGAAATCGATACTCTCAAGTTTGCTGTCAAAATGCATTATTGTGAATTGACTTCCATTATGAAAACGTAAACAAAGTCGACATTTTGACATTAGACTTGGGAAAAAACAGTTGTTTTCCGATTTCGATTGCTATCTTGGTGACCTTATTAATAGATCTTTGTTTTTGTCTCGACCATCTGTCAAATTTTTCCTTATAATATTTCACATCAGCTGCTCTAAAATGACTACCTATTCATTGTGCCATGGTTTCTACCATGGCCTATAAATAAGGTCACCAAGGGAGTCCAGCTGATTATCGATACCTCTCAAGTTTGCTGTCAAAATGCATTATTGTGAATTGACTTCCATTATGAAAACGTAAACAAAGTCCAAATTTTTGACACTAGACTTGAGAAAAAACAGCTGTTTTCCGATTTCGATTGCTATCTTGGTGACCTTATTAATAGATCTTGGTTTCTACCATGGCCCAATAATAAGATCGTCCGATAAGGACAGATGACTTCACCCGAGATGTAAAAATGCTTTCATTTTTGGCATAATCATATGAAAACGTAAACAAAAACATTTACAACATGGGGGATTTTCAACTAAAATTGATGATAACGATTGCTTATTATGCGAACTGTTTAATGGAGCTTGATTTCTACTTGAATTCGTCGTGCAATGTTGCCAACCATAAGAAATATTACTAAATAAAATTTGACAGATGCTTTTGTTTTGATACATCTCCTTATTATTGCATCATGTATACTCCATTTAGCGCTGCAGACTATCCGATTAACTGCCAAAGTGCATAGTCTCTACTTAAATTCGACGTGCAATGTTGTTAACCATGAGAAACATTACTAGATAAAATGTGGCTGTTGGTCGGATAATAACAGTTGTTTTTGTTTTGAAATAATACCTTAATATTTCTTCATGTACCTTAAGCGGTGTACACACTATCACTCCTGAATGACACTCTTGCTTGTTTCATCGTGTGCCGTCATTCATCAAGCAACCACGAAAATATTTATGGTTGTTGGACAGTCAGTTGTCGATTAAAATCTGACAATCAAAAATGATATTGTGTAAACCCCTTTACTGAGCGTATGATATCACAGAAGCTAATGTTTCTTCCTATAATAGCTCTGTCTGTTAACTCGATATTTGGTAACAATTGTTACCAAATGTTGTCTGTTTACACAAAAATCCTGTAAAAGAGAGTCAAGTGAGAGAGCAAGTTTGACAGTTGAACAACAACAAAGTTGCTGGAGTTTACTGAAAGAATTTTATTCAGTAAGATTTTGCAACTCAGCCACAAAAATTATTTAAAACATTTTATTTAATTTGCAAAGTTCAATTTGAAGTCAATTACAGAAAATGGAAGAAAATTCGTAAGTAATGCAAAGTTTCATTAAATTAGAAACTAATTCCTTATATATTTTTAGGCAAGTTCCAGATAGAGGGCAATGTATTGATGCAGGGAGCTTAAATGTTCCCGGGGAACATACCAGATCAAATTTTCTTTTATTATTCATTTTATTTTTAATATTAAATGCAATACAAATAATTGTGTTCGTCCTTGTTTGTTGTTTATTTTGGCGCAAATCAAATTTTTTCTTGAATCAGCTGTTTATTTGCTAAATCTTACTAAATGTTGTCTGTTTACTTTTTTCAGTATTATCGCAAAAGAGAGTAAGAAAGGCTTACTCTCTGAACTAGAACTTACTGAATAAATGTTACTGGAAAAGTAACCAGACACATCTAATGCAATAATATGGGGATGTATCAAAACAAAAACATCTGTTATTATTTGACCATCTGTCAAATTTTATCAAGTAATATTTCTCATGCTTGGCAAAACTGCACGTCGATTGCAAGTAGAAGCTATGCACTTTGACAGTTAATCAGATTATCAGCTGCGCTAAATGGAGTACCTAGTTCATGATGCAATAACAAGGTGATGTATCAAAACAAAAACCTTTGTTTTTGTCTCGATTATCTGTTAAATTTTTCTATATAATATTTCACATGGTTGGAAACACTGCACATCGAGAAATTACGCACTTTGACAGTTAATCAAGACATCAGCTGAGCTAAATGGACTACCTATTCCATGGCCTATAAATAAGGTCACCAAGGGAGACCAGCTGATTATCGATACCTCTCAAGTTTGCTGTCAAAATGCATTATTGTGAATTGTCGTCCATTATGAAAACGTAAACAAAGTCGAAATTTTTGACATTAGACTTGAGAAAAAACAGCTGTTTTCCGATTTCGATTGCTATCTTACCTAGTTATTGTGGCAAGTTTGTCCCCTTTTTCGGCAAAAATGTCCCAATATTTGGTGGAAATCCCCAAGAGTGGCAACGCTGATGCATTGTAATGAAATCATCATTGTCTTTAAGGCAAAATAGTAGTTTATTTCTATTGAAACCATATTATGAGCGTTTTGTTTGTTTAATAATTAAATCGGCGTACTATTTACCAAACGTGATTGTCAGAGGATATATGAGAATTGTTGTTGGGCCCTTCATGGAATACGCAATATGTGAATAGTATACGTATAACGTATGAATCGTGTGTTTGAAATATACGCAAATTATTATGTTTATGTACATATGTATTTTTGCTGAATTGTATAGCTGTAAAATTGTCAACCAACATAGGATGTTCATAAACAGTAGTTCTTTGGACAAATAAATAAACAATTGGATTTCAACACTAAAGATTCAGCATATGAGTCATATGTACCTGTGTTTACGTCGCTAAACAGGTGTGTACTCAACTTGTATGTACTTATGTGTGTATAGATATAATAAATATTTATAAAGTTAAGTGTTTATTTCTGGAGAGAATGTAGTTTTGGAGTATATTTCGAAATTTGTATCCTAGGTGGTTCATGTGCTAATTAAGGCATAATACGGCCAAGTTCATAATTCCACAGATATAGTTCTTTAGTGTTTGGAAAATGTTATAATACTGTATATCAGGGGATATTAAAATGGTTCTCATTTTCCCTTTAAACCCCATCTTATAAACTTTTTTCAAATGGAGCAGATTGGAAATGCAACTTCATACCATATTAAATTTGTCTTGATTCCGACTAAAAATCTATAATTTGTGCAATAAAATGAATGAATGAATTAATGTTGTTATTTATATATATAAAAGAGCTTAGTGTTAAGTGAGTGAGGGAGTGAGTGAGTGACTGACTGACAGATCATCGCCCAGACGAAACGGCTGAAGATAGAAGCTTGAAATTTTGTGTGTGGGTTGTTGCTGGTGTGTAGGCGTGAGATAAGGCTGGGTTTTTGGAAATTCGAACTAGAAGGGTACCAAAAGTACTAAAATGTACCAAATATGGTACCCTTTGTATTAGGCGAACGGGAAGAGCTAGAATTCTGAAATTTGGAATGTGGGTCACTGATGAAAAGTTAGAAAGCTGTACAAAAGGCTTTTTGGAAATTCGACTTATAAGTGTACTAAAAAGACTAAAAATTACTAAATTTAGTTCTAATTGTATATATTTTGAACATATTGAACCTATATAGCTAGAATATTGAAATTTTATATGGAATACGGGTTGGGAAGTGGTGTTTATGTATGGAAATGATTAAAGAAATTCGTACTTATGTGTATAAAAAGTACAAAATGGAACTAAATCTGGTACTATTTGCATTTAGTTGAATGTATAGAGATGGAATCCGGAAAATCGGAATCAGGACTACTATTGGAGCACAAGATTGAAGCAGCTTTAAAAAATCGTACTTATGTGTACGAAAAGTACTAAATAGTACTAAATTTGGTGCAAGTTGGATTTAGGTGAACAGATAGGCTGGAGTCTTCAAATTGTGAAAAAATGAATGTTGAATGTAGGATTGAGGTAGTTACTTATTGGTACGAAAAGTACTATATGGTACCAAATTAAGTACAATTTGGATTTTGCTTAAACGAATGAGCTTAAACCTTGAAATTTGGAATTCTGATTACTGTTGAAGATTGAGCTATAGAGATATCATTGGAAATTCGTATTTGTGTGTACGAAAAGTACTAAACGGCACTAGATTTGGTACAA